TTTTTTTTTTTTTTTTTTTTTTTTTTTTCTTCTTTTTTGGAAAGTCTGCATTTGCTCGACTGTCCATTCTTTCTTTCTACACATATAATTATCTTCCCGCATCGTTTGTTTCGAAGCATCATCGTTTAGGTAGGTCGCTCGGCCGAGTGTAGCTTTTGGACCACAGTCCCCCACTCTCGTTATCCTTGGGCTACCAATGATCAAAGGTAATTTGTCCGTAGTTCAGGACGAGCTAAACTTCCCTCTCCCCCTCCCCCACATCCAACTCTCTTTCTCGTTCCCTCCTTTCTCCCACACACGTAACACACGCTCGCGCGCGCACTGTCTCTCTCTCTCTCTTTCTCTGTCTGTCTCTCTCTCTCTCTCTCTCTCTCTCTCTCCGGCTGTCTGCCGCTACTCGATCCTTTGCCTCGCGCCGAAACTCGTCGTTGCCGAAACGGAAACGTGGGCTCCATTCAACGGACGGGGAGGAGAAAGTAGAGGCTCTCCCTACGTTCGAGAGATGGGAAGAAATGGGAAATTTTCGTGAGCCGAGGTATAGACGATGATGATCAATGACGACGAGACTGTGGATCCATCGAAGGGATGTTATGTGTATGCATGAGCGAGCGAGTGAGTGGATCTAGCTGGGGATACTCATCGTTCCAGTCTTGCCACGGATCAGTCCGTTCGATTTTGGGGATCAACCGATCTACGCGGGGCAGGCCGCCCAATTGGCGTGCATGGTGGCGACGGGTGACACTCCCATCGACATCACCTGGACCCACGAGGATCGGCCCCTCTCGCAATTCATGGGATACAACGTCGGGAAACTCGGGCCACGGATGAGCATGATGCTGATCGAGCCTGTAACACCTGACCACGCGGGACGTTACACTTGTATCGCCACCAATCCGTCCGGGAAAGCGATCCACGAGGCGACGTTGCGTGTTCACGGTTAGGGAACAGAGTAATGTGGAGAGAATAATATCGTGGTGGAATGAATAATAATCGTGTTATATAATAATTTAATATTGATTGAAACGTGGAATAAGAGCGAAGGAATGAGACGCAACAGCCGCCCCAAGGCGCGATTCACGCGCGCCCGATTTCAGATTGTTTCGTTTGATCGCAGGCTTTGATAATAATTTGATTCCATGCATTCTTCGTCGTTGCCGAGAACGAACGAAATCTTTCCTTTTTTGGCGAAAGCTTTCTGGATTTCAGTTCACACAGCGGAAGAGTTTTCGTCTCTGTTCACAGCTTTCGTCTCACCGGGGACGACTCTCTTGCGCGCCGTACCTCTCTCTCTCTCTCTCTCTCTCTCTCTCGCTATCTTTCTACTTATCCCCTCTCTCTCTCTCTCTCTCTCTCTCTCTCTTTATCCTCCGTTCTGCAATCTCGTCATCCCGCGTGTATTATGTATATATATCCTCTCACCCTTCACCCTTACGCTCCTATTTCCCGCCTATTCAACCGAGTAGCAGAAGCAAAGTTACCAAAGAGAGCCCACTACATCCCTCCTCCCTCCTTCCATCCAGCAATTTGGTTCAGCTTGACCCGCATAGTATTTGTTGTTGGCTAAGTAATTCGCATCGTTCGATTATTATACCACCCTGTCTCGTTGTCATGCTCTCATCGTCGCTAATAGTCTTCGACGACACTCATCGAGTATGGCTTTTTTCGAGTTGGCTTTTTCTCGCCGCGCGATCGAACGAGCGATAAGGCACCACCGACGAACAGGATACATACATATATATATATATATACATGTATATATATATATATGTATGTATATATATATATATATATATATACAATTCTCTCGTCCTCTCGTGCGCGTCACGTGCTTCACCAGCCCTCCCCCTCCCTCCCCTCTCTTCTCCCCCAAAGAAAAAAGAAAAAAGAAAACTCAATTCGTGTAATAATAATGATAATAGTAATAATAGTAATAATAATAATAATAATATCGAAGAACGATCGATGGATCGTCGCGACTGTCTATCGCCGGACTGTCTATCTAGGATCATCCTCCCAGCGATCGAGCTGCGTGTCTCTCGTGATCACATTCGAGTGTCGATTTATCTCACCGTACCGTACCGTACCCCTCCCCCCCCCTCCCCCCTCTCGCCGTCGCGCCACAACGCGTCCTTGGTCCCTTCCAACATGACCGCGACCGACCGACCATCCGATCAACCCCTGAAAATCAACCCCCTGTCACCAACCTATCGAAACCAACCTATCGAAACCAACCTTGAAACCTTCGCCCCTCCCACCACCCCGCCTCTCTCACCACACGTCTCGCCTCGTATTCATTTTTTTTACATGCATTCGTAGCGGTAGCGGTAGATATATATATATATATATCTATATATATATCTTTCTTTTGAAAACAACGCATGCCGCCTCTCCATTTCTAACTAGATCTGCCTAGATTGAGCTTTCTCTCTCGATTTCTTTCGCAGCACGACGGACCGTAGCGGCGTTACTTATTACCCTTCTTGCATGCATGGTCCTCCTGCCTTTTCTCTCTCTCTCTCTCTCTCTTTCTCTCTCTCTCTTTCTCTCTCTCCATCTCTTGCGCACGTTCATCACTCACTCCATCTTCTTTCTTTTTAGTTCTCGTGCAAGTAGTTTCACCCGCATAACTTCACCACTCTTTTTTTTTTTTTTTTTTATATTCCTGCATGCACGATTTTCGACGATGCAATGTCGTGGTTGTTGTTGCGTTGTCGGCAGTTGCGGGAGCGAGCCGCGAAAGTTTCGTTCAGCACGCGACGAAACTTGGTCGTGTCGTGATCTTCGGCTCCTGTTGTGAAAATAAAAAAAGGGAAAACGTGAAGAAACGTGAAACGTGCGTCCATCGAGGAAAAGGGATGGACGAAAGGGAGCTCGAGATCACGAGGACGCGACTGGCTCCCGGATTAACTGCCAGAATACGACTAATGCGCCGTAGGAACACCTCGAATGACCTGGTTATTCTGTAACAGTACCACCCCGCTGGATCCTGGAACCAACCGACAAGGCATTCGCTCAAGGCTCTGACGCTCGCGTCGAATGCAAAGCCGACGGTTTCCCCAAGCCCCAGGTCACGTGGAAGAAGGCCGCTGGTAAGCGATCCCCCTCCATTACCCTAACCTCTGAAAATCTCCTTTTCAAATCTCTCTTCTTCGTTTCGCAGGGGATACGCCGGGCGATTACACCGACTTGAAATTGAGCAATCCGGACATCAGCGTGGAGGACGGTACCCTGTCGATCAACAACATTCAAAAGACGAACGAAGGTTACTATCTCTGCGAGGCTGTGAATGGAATCGGCGCAGGACTCTCGGCTGTCATCTTCATCTCGGTTCAAGGTACGAAAACGTATTATCCGATATCTTCCTCTTCTCCGTCCTCCAATTTTTATTAATGTCGTATCGATTCATCCAGCTCCACCCCACTTCGAGATCAAACTGAAGAACCAGACCGCACGACGAGGGGAACCGGCCGTGTTGCAATGCGAGGCCCAAGGCGAGAAACCGATCGGCATCCTGTGGAACATGAACAACAAGAGGCTGGACCCGAAGAGCGATTCCCGTTACACCATTCGGGAGGAAATATTGGCGAACGGCGTGCTGTCCGACCTGAGCATCAAGAGAACCGAAAGAAGCGACTCCGCCCTCTTCACCTGCGTGGCGACCAACGCTTTCGGAAGCGACGACACAAGTATCAACATGATCGTGCAAGGTTCGAGTCTTCCTCCTCAGCAAAGGTCGTCCTCCCCCTTTCCTTCCACCTGTCGATTTACGAGTAACGTTTCCACGCAGAGGTACCCGAGGTTCCGTACGGTTTGAAGGTGTTGGACAAATCTGGACGCTCGGTCCAACTTTCCTGGGCAGCGCCGTACGACGGGAACAGTCCGATCAAGCGTTACGTAATCGAGTACAAGATCAGCAAAGGCTCGTGGGAGACCGATATCGACCGAGTTCTGGTGCCAGGATCCCAACAGAACGTAGCGGGCGTGTTCAATCTCAGGCCAGCCACCACCTATCACCTTAGAATCGTAGCCGAGAACGAAATAGGCGCGTCCGACCCGTCCGACACAGTCACCATCATCACCGCCGAAGAGGCGCCCAGCGGCCCACCAACCTCCATCCGCGTCGACGACCTCGATCAGCACACCCTCAAGGTAATCAAATTTTCCTCTAATTCACCGTTTCTTGGTAGAGTGTTTCGAACACATCAAATTCATTTCGAATACATGTGGAATTCGTTTAGAATACATTAAACTCATTTCGAATACATCAAATTCATTTCGAACACGTGGAATTCGTTTTGAACACATCAATTCGTTTCGAACACATCAAATTTACTTCGAACACATCAAATTCGTGTCGAATACACGTAGAATTCGTTTCGAACACATCAAATTAATTTCGAACACACGTAGAATTCGTTTCGAACATATCAAATTCGTTTCGAACACATCAAATTTACTTCGAATATACGTCGAATTCGTTTCGAACACATCAAATTCATTTCGAACACATCAAATTTACTTCGAATATACGTCGAATTCGTTTCGAACACATCAAATTCATTTCGAATACATATGGAGTTCGTTTCGAACACACGTGGAATTCGTTTCGAACACATGTGGAATTNCATCAAATTCGTGTCGAATACACGTAGAATTCGTTTCGAATACATCAAATTCCTTTCGAATACATCAAATTCATTTCGAACACACGTAGAATTCGTTTCGAACATATCAAATTCGTTTCGAACACATCAAATTTACTTCGAACACATCAAATTCGTGTCGAATACACGTAGAATTCGTTTCGAATACATCAAATTCATTTCGAACACACGTAGAATTCGTTTCGAACATATCAAATTCGTTTCGAACACATCAAATTTACTTCGAATATATGTCGAATTCGTTTCGAACACATCAAATTCATATCGAACACATCAAATTTACTTCGAATATACGTCGAATTCGTTTCGAACACATCAAATTCATTTCGAATACATATGGAGTTCGTTTCGAACACACGTGGAATTCGTTTCGAACACATGTGGAATTCGTTTCGAACACACGTGGAATTCATTTTGAACACATCAAATTCATTTCGAACATATCCAATTCGGTTCGAATACACGTAAAATTCGTTTAGAACATATAAAATTCGGTTCAAATACATCAAATTCATTTCGAACATATCAAATTCGGTTCGAATACACATAGAATTCGTTTAGAACACATTAAATTCATTTCAAACATATCAAATTCATTTCGAACATATCAAATTCATTTCAAACACATCAAATTCATTTTGAACACACATGGAATTCGTTTCGAATACATCAAATTCGTTTCGAATACACGTGGAATTCGTTTCGAACATATAAAATTCGGTTCGAACACATCATATTCATTTGAACATACGTGAAATTCATTTCAAACACATCGAATTCATTTCAAACATGCATGGAATTCGTTTCGAACACATTAAATTCATTTCGAACACACGTAGAATTCATTTCGAACACATCAAATTCATGTCAAATACACGTAGAATTCGGTTCGAACACATCAAATTCATTTCAAACACATCAAATTCATTTCAAACATGCATGGAATTCGTTTCGAACACATTAAATTCATTTCGAACACACGTGGAATTCATTTCGAACATATCAAATTCATGTCAAATACACGTAGAATTCGTTTCAAACACATCAAATTCCTTTCGAATTCATTTCGAACACATCAAATTCATTTCGAATACATATGGAATTGGTTTGGATCAGGTAACATGGAAACCGCCCCCTCGCGAGGATTGGAACGGCGAGATTCTTGGATACTACGTTGGCTACAGGCTCTCCTCCTCCGAGAAACCGTACATGTTCGAAACCGTGGACTTTTCGAAGGAGGACGGAAAGGAGCACCACTTGCAGATCATGAACCTGAAGACGTATACCCAGTACAGCGTGGTCGTTCAAGCGTTCAACAAAGTAGGATCGGGACCGATGAGCGAGGAGCGGAGGCAGCACACCGCCGAAGGCGTACCCGAGCAACCCCCTCACGACACCACTTGCACCACCTTGACCTCCCAGACCATCAGGATCTCCTGGATGTCGCCACCCCTCAGCGCCGCGAATGGAGTTATCACCGGATACAAGGTGATTGTATATGATTTTTTTCTTATGAATCGAATCTGTCGAGACTGTTCAAATATTGTAATCAAATATATAGGTCATCTACGGACCCTCCGACACCTGGTACGACGAGAACACCAAGGACACCAAGATCACCTCCTCGAGCGAGACCATTTTGCACGGATTGAAGAAGTACACGAACTACAGCATGCAAGTCTTGGCTTTCACTTCTGGCGGCGATGGTGTCAAGTCCGCGCCTATTCACTGCCAAACCGAACAGGATGGTAAGACGAAAACTTTTTCTCCAAGGCGCAAATCATACTTTCTCCTTCCTTCCCCCAGCCCCCGAAGCGCCTATCGCGATCAAGGCTCTCGTCATGTCGTCCGAATCGATCCTGGTTTCGTGGAGGCCGCCTAGCCAACCGAATGGCGTCATCACCCAGTACACCGTGTACACGAAGGCTGACAACGCGGAGGAGCCGACCAGCCAGAAGGTGCCGCCCAATCAGCTCACTCACGAGGCATCCGAATTGGACAAGACGCGCAGATACGACTTCTGGGTGACCGCGAGCACGAACATCGGCGAGGGGGAGGCTTCGAAGATCGTCGCATTGGCGCCCAGCGTTCGAGGTATATTATATTGTATTGTACACTCTCCCCTCCCCTCTCGATCTTCTTCGACGCGACAACTCGATTCCTTCGAAAAACTGTTTCAGTCCCGGCAAAGATCGCATCGTTCGACGACAAATTCACGGCTACCTACAAGGAGGACGTGAAATTACCCTGCTTGGCCGTTGGTGTACCCGCGCCCGAAGTGACGTGGAAAGTGCGAGGCGCCGTTCTCCAATCTAGCGACAGACTGCGACAATTGCCCGAAGGATCCCTGTTCATCAAGGAAGTGGACCGCACCGACGCCGGGGAATACTCCTGCTACGTGGAGAACACGTTCGGCCACGATACCGTCACCCACCAATTGATCGTGCACGGTGAGAATTTATAGAAGGGAGGAGGGAATGAAAAGGAGGGAATTCAAGTCGAACGAACGAATTTCCAACGATTCGATTTCGCAGCTCCCCCTCACTCGCCCCAAATCACCCTTACCGCGACCACCACCAACTCGTTGACGATGAAGGTGCGCCCCCACCCCACCGACAACGCCCCGATCCACGGATACACGATCCACTACAAACCGGAATTCGGCGACTGGGACACGGCGCAGATCAGCTCCACGGTGCAGAAGTACACTTTGGAGAATCTGTTGTGCGGCTCGAGATACCAGATCTACGTAACCGCGTACAACGGGTAAATAGATGGTCATCTCGATTGTTGGAGAGCGTTGAAGAGAGATTGTTGACGATTTTTAGAATTGGAACCGGCGATCCATCCGACATGCTCAACACCCGCACCAAAGGCTCGAAACCGATCATCCCCGAGGCGGCAAGGTTCATCGAGGTGGCTACGAACAGCATCACTCTGCACTTGAACGCTTGGTCGGACGGTGGCTGCCCCATGATCTACTTCGTGGTCGAGCACAAGAAGAAGTAAGGGGGAACGTAACGAGAATAAGAATCTAAACCGACGAGTTGCCGTCCTCGTCCTCGTCGTTGTTGATCATAATCGATCGTGTGATTCAGGAACCAACAGGAATGGAACCAGGTGTCGAACAACGTTAAACCGGGCGGAAACTTCGTCGTTCTGGATTTGGTCCCTGCCACGTGGTACCACCTGCGCGTCACCGCCCACAATAACGCCGGATTCGCGGTTGCCGAGTACGAATTCGCAACACTGACCGTAACCGGAGGTAAATAAAATAAGAAGGCGATAAGAAGGGGATAGGAAAAAAAAAAAAAAAAAGGAAAGAAAAAAAAAAGGCAACGGCGCACCTCGTAGCCGGTGCCAATGGTGGCTGGATTGATGGTCGCCATATTTTTTGTTCCAGGCACCATTGCACCGGCCCGAGAGCTACCTGACGTGAACGGTGGTGGCAACGACGAGGATCCGATGAAAATTTTCATGGCTAACTTAAATCTGGTCGTACCCGTGGTAGCAGCTATTCTCGTTATAATCGTTGCCGTCATCGTGATCTGCGTTCTCAGAGGGAAGGGCCATGGTAGCGATAAAGGTAACCCTCCCTCTTCTTTGCACTGTCTTAACGAACAGGTACGATCGCGCCCCCCGTGCGGAACGGCGACAACGACAGCACGGACGTGAGGCGTTATTTCCCTTGGTTACCCGGCTGGCTGGACGTGAACGTGGTTGTGCCGGTCGGAGCAACGATCGTCGTCATTATTGTAGGGATAGTGGTGATTTGCGTCGCCTTGTCTAGGAGAACTCGGGGCCCGGAACAAACGCGGCTGCGAGGTATCTCATCAGCCGACGAGAAATATTACGAGGGACAATGTATACCAATTTTTTTTTATTATTTTACAATCGTTAAATAACGAAACAGAGATGGAAGTTCGTCGTCGAAGGGGATAATCGTGTCGAGTTATCGGCTTCCGACGACTTCGATCCGTATCCAAGCGTAATGGGACAGTTGCTATAGCGAACTAATCGGCGCGCTGCTACCTTCCATTCGATTTTCTAGACGACGTGGTGTACCAGCAAACCGGGGTGGGCGGAGCAACTCTCGACAAACGAAGGCCCGACCTCCGCGACGAGCTTGGATACATCGCCCCGCCCAACCGTAAATTGCCCCCTGTACCCGGATCCAATTATAACACCTGCGATCGCATCAAGCGAGGTACAGTGATAAGTAAGCCACAACTGCCAACAATACGATCTCTAGCTAAAATTCCAATTATTGTTTAGTTGTTGTCGCATCGGCACGAGAGTGTTTACCGTTTCTTCTTTTATTTTATTCTCATTTAATTCATTCCGTGGCACACCAGAAATCGAATCGAACGTGTACAAGATGATACACACGAATGTTAGAATTCTTGCCACCATTCTTGTCCAACGAATCGGGATGACGATACGTCTAGTTGAAAATAGTCGCACACGCGACACACACACACATACAAACATACGTAATTCATACACAAGAGCGTTGGATCATAGTCATTGCCAGTTTGTTTCGTTGTTTGCCTCGCTTCAAAATATTTTTTCTCTCTATATATTTATATATTATATATTTTATATATATTAATATTTATATATTATATATAATATTTATATATTTATATATATTTACATATATATATATATATATATATTTAAACGTAATCGAGATGTATGCCCGGGGAACGGTTATTCTTCTCCTCCCTTATTTTGTTGCGCTTATCGCATTGCTACGCGTCTCCGTTTCTACGATCGCCCTCTCAGTTCACGCCCACTGACGAATCAATGAAATCGATAAGAAGGGCGAAACCGAAGATCGGTAAGCGGCAGTCAGTCGTGCGACGTTTGTAGTATATGTTCGATAGGTGGGACAGGCTCGATAAGAAGCCACTCGACGTGGGATCCAAGACGACATATGTACGAAGAATTGAATCATTGCGCGCCGAACCGAAGATGTCCACCGCCACCTCGCATGGGCAGTGCCGAGGGTCTATCCCACAGAGGTTGGTAAAAAGTAGTTAAAGAACCGAACGAAGCGCTCTTTCTCCTCTCCGTGTCGTCATCACGAGCCTTCGTCTCTCTATCGCGAGATCTACCACTGATTAACTAACCTATCGGCCGGGTCCAGCTATTATATATCCGCTCTTCGTCGTAAGTCCGTTCCGATTCTTCACGGTTCTTCATTGCTCATGCAATTATATCTGCTATTACCCACTTCGATGTTTTGCACGTATTGACGCATGCTTGCGCTCATTATTCACTCCTTTTATTTTCGCAAATAAACAAACGAACACAAACGATACGATATAAAAAATAACCACATCTCTTTCGATTCGTCCCACTTTTATCACGAATACGAAGGATTTGGATACATGGATACGTTGTCGTTCCGCTCCGATTTTTCTCCGAAATGTTTGTTCTCGGGATAAGAGACGAAAGAGTGAGAGCGAACGACAACGACGGACCTGTATCTTCGAGACAGATCTTTGATTAACGTGCATGAGAATATATACATATTTCCTACAAACACGTTTCTCTGTACAACAAGCGAGCGAAGAAGAGGAGAAACATAGGAGAATACGTAGGTACCCGCCAGATTTTTCTTACCGATCTTAGTTAGCATTGCACGAGACCAACGCAGCCAAACACCCACGCCATCGGATTAACCGATACGCAGTGGTCGTTACATCATCGATAATCCCGTTCATTCACAATGAATAGATTACTTCGATCGGTTCCATAACTGCAGTGTCTACCCTTGGTGATTATTTCTTTCAGGCATGGAAGACGAGATCTGCCCCTACGCCACCTTCCACCTTCTTGGATTCCGCGAGGAGATGGACCCAAGCAAGGCCATGCAATTCCAGACCTTCCCACACCCAGGCAACGGACACTCGGGCACCATGGGACCACCCGTTGGACATCCTACCAACGCTTCTGCCCACAGCCGCTCCGGATCTCAATCCATGGTATTATCGATCCATCTTTTCCTTTTTTTTTTTTTTTTTTTTCCCCTCCCCCTCCCCTCTTTTATCCCCGAATACACATCGATTTTCTTTGCAAATCCGCAGCCGCGTCAAAACGGTCGCTACTCCCGAGTACCGTCCCAAGGAGGCGGAAGCGGAACCCACAACGTCTTCTCCCCCGAATACGACGACCCGGCCAACTGCGCACCCGAGGAGGATCAATACGGCTCTCAATACGGACAGTACGGCGCTCCCTACGACCACTACGGATCCCGCGGCTCCGTCGGACGTCGTAGCGTAGGATCGGCTCGCAATATCCCCGTCTCTGGATCACCGGAACCGCCCCCACCCCCGCCAAGGAACCACGACCAGAACAACTCGAGTTTCAACGACAGCAAGGAGAGCAACGAGATCAGCGAGGCAGAGTGCGACCGCGACCAACTTGTGAACCGCAACTACGGCGGTCAGTACAAAGGCCCGGTGATCAAAGAGCCGGGGGATCGGGGCGGAACGAATCGACGAATCTTTCTCCCCCTCCCCTCTGGGAAAAGAGAGAAGAATCTCTTCGTTGAGAGAATCGAGGGAGGGGGAGGGGATATCTCGTTCGTTTTTCGCTGTGTTTCCCCCTTGCCGGTGCTCGTTCTTTTAGAAAAAATATAGGCATGCCGAGCGAGTCATCGATGCGAGATCAAGAATGAAAGCGTTGACTCGCTGCGGGGTCTGTCTTTGTGTCTATCTATCTCTCTATTTCTCTATTTCTCTATTTCTCTCTCTCTCTCTCTCTTTCTCTTTAATCGTTTAGCTTCCACACATTTGCATGCTACGTGTCGTCGTAGTAGTGTTACCGTTGTGTCAATCGTGCCGTGTGTTTTTCTATTTCAGTGAATGCTCGCGGCAAGGACGGCATGACCACCGAGGAGATGCGTAAACTCATAGAGAGGTCAGTAGAGATCGAGTGAGTTTGGTTTAACGGTGCACGGATCGGGAGCGAAACGTCACCGTTTTTCATGCCGCTGTGTCTCGAGCTCGAGATTTCTTTGAGTCGAGAAATTGTCATTGACTTTCTCGAAAAAGTAAATTGGCCATTCTCTCTATCTCTCCGTTTAAGTAAAAGCTTCGACTTTTTTCTCTCTTTTTTTTTTTTTTTTTTTTTTCTCCTCTACCAACCGTTCCAACGAACGCTCCCTTCGTTTCTTTCGACTCTCCGTAGTGGTATATACGTATATATATATAGATATATATATACATATATACACTTTGTTAGATTTGCTTCTCTCTTCTCGTAATATTTTTTTTCCCTTCTCTCTCTTCCCCCACCCTCTCCCCTACTTTTTAGTTTTCCACCCGTTAATTCGATTCGAATAGATCGAATTGTTATTATTATATATCTGTGGGTTATTTCACAAAATTCGCATAGTGACGATCGAGTGCACGGTGGTGTCGCTAAGAACTTCGTACAAAACCTTTTCGACAATCTAATATTTAACGACATATCTCTGACTTTTGCTTGTTTCATGACTCTTTACGCAGGAAGCCGTAAGTTCGTTAGACAATAATAATAATAATAATAATAATAATAATAATAATAATAATAATAATAATCGTAATAAGAATAATAATAATAATCATAATAATAATAATAATAATAATAAACCGCCGCAGGATGCATTTTATATGTAACTATGAGAATCGCGTTAGAGAGATAACTTTTTTTTGAAAAGCTTTAGAAGCTTTGTTCTTAGCTATTATTATTATTTTGTGGCCACGAGAATATAGGTCAGTCAATGCTTCGACAGCGTTGCTTTCATACCAACGACAATCAGATCTCTACTTCTGGGTCGAATATAATCGCTTACTTATCAATATAATAATCAGTTAACTCATGTGTTTTTTTGCATGCAATTTTTTGCAACGACAATTGCCAAATGATGTGATTATTTGTTCGTAGTTAACATTCATTTTCCCCCCCCCCCTTTTTTTTTCTCTCCCCCTCCCCACTAGATTAAATAGATGGTACAACGGATACACCGATCCGGATTGCCATCCGTTTATTTTCGCTACAGCTGTCATTGCTCCTGTCATTGCCACTACAGATTCTGCTGCCATCGCTGCTGGTGCTACTTATTTTATTAACAACCGCTTTACAATTACAAATTATCATCCTTATTATCGCCGTTATTACGTATTTATTAATTAATTAAGAAAGATTAAGAGTAATCATTTAGCCTAATCGATATAGTCGCGATTATAATAAAGCTCTCTATCTCTTTCTCTGTCTCTCTCTCTCTCTCTCTCTATATATATATATATACATATAATGCATGTTGTATCATTGCTGAAATCACGTGCAGATAATTTTTATTAATTTTTATAATCCTTTAGATGCATACGAGAATTGTCGAGGATTAATATTGGATAATAGTAACTACTAATCTAAGTGTATAGAATGTCGTGTGGTGATGCGAAATAAAAAAGGGGGGGGGGATAGACTCGCGAGTACGAGAGCGAGAAAAATTGAATGGATAAACTGACTGTTACAGAAACGAAGCCCCCAGCCGGCAAACCGGCGCCGGCCACGGCGGTCACGGGGGACTCCTCACACCCTACGATACTGTGGCAGTGTAACCTGTAAATCATCCTCCGTGGTCTTCCGTCTCTTTCTCTCTCTCTCTCTCTCTTTTTCTCTCTCTCTCCGTCACCAGAAGAACTCGAGAGAAGTGGAAAGAATGCGCAACGCTGACTCTTCCCCCGGTGCTGTCGTCGGTCCAAAATTGCAACGATTTGTATCAGGAGTATCACCATCGATCGCGTCGATAGATAAATAGATAGATATATAGATAGATAGATAGATAGATTCGGCCCAATTATATTACAGGAGCACACTCGTCGTTTTCGCATACGGGAACGATCGATCGACCGCAACGACATTATCGACCGACGATATTTGCCTCCCGAAGGGACAAACCGTCTTCTTCGTCTTTCGACCATTCTTCCCTTCCTTCCAACCTTTTTGGCCTTTTTCTACTTCGATCTCGCGTCTTTTCTCTCACTCGTACGTATAGCTCACTCGTTCTTGCTCAATTGTCCTAACGATATTGGAAGGCCAGATTTACGAAACTGCCAAATTGATTGACTGCCGTTCCAGGCGAGAGGATGATCGCTGCTCTTGAGGGGCAACATACCGTTCGTCGTTTCTGTCGCGAATTAATACTGAATAAATACGAGTATAGTCCTGTCGCAAGAAAAAAAAAAAAAAAAAAAAAAGAAAAAGAAAAAGGAAAAGAAAGAAAGAAAAGGAAAAAAGGAAGAGAAACGAACATACCCGGCGTGTTCGTCCACGTTGAAAAATGGCTAGAAATCCGATCCGCGACGCGTGCTCTCGGCGACGGTGCGTTTCCACGAGGAGGGGAGGGGAAGGGGGGATTGTTTGGCGGGATGTCCTAGGTTACGAATTGTCGCTTCCAAGCGCCCCCACGAGTCACGGGAAGTACACACGAGATATACGTTAGTTTACTCGCTTTTTAAGTCATGGTTGTGCCACACTGCCGCTCCCCGCAGGCATATGATATTATACATATACATACATACATATATATGATAATATTATACATATATATACGATTTATAATTTCGTAACGAAGGTTGTGTCCCTGTCTTTTGGTGATCGACGATCTTTTGAGTCTCGACGTCGCGGAGAGCAAGTCTAGAGTGCACTGTTTTTGCGACAGTGTCGCAGAGAGTGCGTCGTCGTCGTCGTCGTCGTAGCAATAGTTAGAGACCAGGTCGCATCCGATGCCGTGGTGGCGTCCAATCGATAACTTCTTCCGCCGCGCGTATCACGCGATGAGTGAAAAAAAAAAAAAAAAAAAAAAAAAANAAAGAAAAAAAAAGAAAAAAAAGAAGAAAAAAAGGAAAAAAAAAAGAGAAAAGAAAAGAAGAGAAAAAGAAAGATTCCTCAACAAATTTCTTTTTAGCCGATCGACTTTATCCGTAGGAAGAAACGCGGCACCCTAGATCACAGAACACCGATTTCAACGAGAACGTCGAGGTTGAGCAAACCGTAACATTTTACAACATACATTTTAAAGGGAGAGAAGATAAGGCGCAAGCAACACACCACGCTCGCTGTCGATTTTTTAATCGTCCTATATGATATATTTAGTCCGCTGTACACACACATATATTCGCAAGCTAATCTCGATCAATTATGAACGTACGTGAATTTAATGATATGACATGCGACGATGATATTATACGTGTAAGCAATTCGAGCAACAAATACCGATTTAAAATATAAGTAGGACATAAGTCGGACGGATGGTCGCGAGATCCGCCGTTTCTCTTTCGTTGAATGGCGACGCGTCGATATGTGAAATGCAACAAAAAAAAAAAAAAAAATGAAAATCGAAGAAGAAAAATCGAAAAACATTCGTGTTACGTTCGTGAATTTGTTACATCGATGCGATGCCAGGATACGGTTACGGCGCGTGTCTCATAATTCGTTTTTATCACAACACTATTTAGATATTAAAAAAAATATATAAATATATAAATATATATATATATATACATACATTGACGTTCATATACATACGTTGTAAGTAGGTATGTCTAGATGTCGCATTTATTTGCCGAGGCGATGCACGAGTGGTACACCAGTCGAGCATGATCACGGTCAAAGGATATCTCCTCGTTGACGACGAGATATTGCCGGGATACTTTGACCGTGAATTCCGTAAACCGTTTTATCAAAAAAAAAAAAAAAGGTTCGCATATATCGCTGGCTACGATTCCGCTCGCCGAAGCACTTTTCATCGATGTGATTTTAAAGGCTGCGCAAAGTCTCGTGTCTCGTGTATGTGTTACGATCGCGCTCTACCACATTAATGTAGCCATATCCAACTCACCTTTTACGATGTATATCACGTTTTACTCACGTAACGCTCGCGGAGCTTTTCGCTTTGAAGCTTTGGAACTTAACGCGAATAAAAGAGAAATCGAAAGATATTTAACTTATTCGATATTAGCCGTACGATCGATCTCGCCGCACACGCGTGTCGATATTAAGGAAAAAAGAAAAAAAAAAAAAAGCACGAAAAACGAAAGAAAAAAACGTGATGTCCGGGGATTGTCGTATAGCTTTCTTCTATTAATCGATTGGAAATATTAATATCTGTTTATCGTTATATTTTGTGTGATCGATCTGGTATCGCTTCTATTTGCAAGGTTTAACGTTACTTTTTTTTTTTATAATGCTGTGAAACGGTCGGTGCCGCCGTCCGCGTTATACGTATATGTTATGCTTTGTTCATTGAAGATATTGGATGTCCATTTTTGTGCAACGACGAGGCGGTTCTTCGAGCTTCTCTTTCGGCGGGGCGCGTATCGTTATCTTTTTCGGTTGCAAGCAGACTCGGGACATTTCGTAATTAGTACCCTGTGTTGCGCTCACAATGTCAGTGCTCGCCTTTAAATTGGCTGTAAGTTCATATTCTCGTACAACGATACTCGTATTTCTCCGCGTTCGTAGGGACTCGAGGATCCGCTCGCAATACACCGTTTCCTCAGTACCACTATTTTATGTTTTTGTACCAAAGTCGTAGTAGCGTCTAACTTTACGTTAAATAAATAAAACCAAAAAAAAAAAAAAAAAAAAAAAACAAAAAAAAACAATTATTTGTGTATAATTTTAGATTCCCAATCATCTATATTATAATCTAATCGTATTAAGTCAGGAAAGGTTATTTTTTTTTGTTAAATGTAACATTAGAATAATTGTTACGTCGTATTTTTATTATTTTAAAAAATCGCTAAAGTATATTTTATCATAATACGAAAAAAAAATATGTTATTGATTTGCAATATCAAATGTTTTACGCGATTTTTAACCTGTAGAATTTTGAATATTTACGATATGGTAACATTTGAACGATGTTTGTGCAGTGATAACTCGTAGTGGTTGGTAACATCATTTGTTGGCACGATGGCGTCTGGCGGTGGTACGTACCGTTTATTTTGCTTTTTATCATTTAATAGGTACCGTTAAGCGATATCTTTTTTGGGAATTTTTGGTACTAACAATGTCGATCAACGTATTATTTTTGTAATAGCGGAAAATACACCAGAGGAAAGGACCGAGCCAGCGGCGCCGGCACAACCCCTCACCAATGTTGTGAGCGAAACAGCGCACGTAAGTCAGATAACCTATAAATCTAGGCGTAACCTGTTATGCTATTATTTCTTGGTTATCGATTCTTATCATTGATATTTCCTAAACTCGTGATTAAATTATCGAATATTTTCCTATTTATAAAATCGATTTTATATATCGAAATTTACAATGGATCGTTCGATTAAAACAATTACACCATTTCCCGCCAATCTAATGACAGCTGTTATATTAAAATTTGAGTTTGTTTTCGTATCGGCGTTGTTGGGTTAGGTTATTTGATTATCTTGATTCATATATTTCACACTTTTATTTAATTCATGAATATCTTGTACCTTTTATAGTTCTTTTATATATATTGATAAAATGTATAACAAAATAGTGATAAATAATTTAATTAATATCGATTAAAATATCACTAACCTTAATCTGATATACTATTTTCTTGTTGTTGTAGAGGATATTAGCAATGAATAAGGATTCTGATCTTACTGGTGTGCCACCAAAGAAGTCACGTGTCGAAGTACAATCTCTTCCAACGAGGCAATATTTGGATCAAACTGTAGTACCAATTTTATTACAAGCTCTATCCACGTTGGCCAAGGAAAGACCCGCAGATCCCATCAGCTTTCTAGCCGGATACTTGCTGAGGAATAAAAATCAATACGATAATGGTGAATCTCCACCAACTAGTCAATGAACTGCTTACGCATTTATAAGTATGTGGTGAAAATTAAAGAATTACAAACATTTATTGACACTTCTTAGGAACGTACTCAAGTTGGGCAAGGTGTATTTGTGTAATTTTGAATTAAATAAAAATGTATTAGCTTTTTATCATATAAAAGATATTTTGGTTAAATAACAAAGAAAATGTAACAAGTTTTTTCAAGTGTTTGTTTATGTGCTCATTTCGATGACTATTTTTATAGTGATTAATTTTTTCTATATATATTATAATGTGTAAATCTGTACAGGTTATCGAAAAGATATTAATTTCATAATAGTTTAGATTAGATTATGATTTATACCTGAAAGCTTTAAGTAGATCCTGAAATTTCGACTAAAATTATTATTTTACAAAACTCTATTATCTACATGTGTTTTACATCAATTATAAAAAAAAAAAACGAAAAGAATCGTTATCAAAGATTCAATAAATGAATTTTCCGTGTTCGTATCGAGATAATTGGATGCAATTAAACGTAATTATCCACTGACTCCGCATGAAATTTATCTCACAGTTCGATAAGATCAACGATACGTATAGAATGTTCGATCGTGCACTTTAAATTTCTTCCAAAACGGCGACTACGTTAATTTTTTTATATTTAAATTCGCGCGCGTTAATTACCTATATACTTCCGGAAATCATTCGATCGTTGATTTGTCGAACGTAGTGCTTTAATCTATCGCGTCAACGGTTTAACGGTGCCAGTGACTCGTAACAATTTTGAAGAAAATTCGTATATTTTCGAGATAACGCTGCAATATCGGTACAAAACAACAATGAGAAGATATCGAGGTAATTTCCTGGCGAACAATTCGCACGGTAACATCGTACCAAGTCCAATTAACGATTTGTCCTCCCATTCGAGTTCCTCGTATATTAACTCGTTTTCTTGATACGATTGTCACCGTGTATTTATATTACTTTTATTTTCTTATTCTATTCTTTTGTTGATCAAAGAACAGTTAAAATACGGTGTAATATCCCGTCAATATATTTTCCGAAATAACAACCATTGGATAAATATGCTTCCTATTATACGTATGCATAAAATATTCCTATTGTAGGAACTTTTGAAATTGAACTGTATAGTAATACAGCGTTTTAGCATGTACATTCATACGTATAAATATTTGTGGTATACGTGTAGATAACGTCGAGGTAATTCGCGTACATGTATATCGTGCAAATACGATATCATTAAGTTTAAATTTTCTTTTTAGCTTTTGTGATTTTATAGTCTGTCTATAGAGCATAAGTTTCGTGCACGTTTATGTTACGGTTGGTACGCTCTAAGTGCACCGTATACAAAGAACTTGCGTCGAGCAAACTGAGAGCATAGTTAATGGGCGAATCGTGTCACAGCTTTCGTTGTTCGCGCGCAATCTGCAGATTCACGCCCGTACGGCCATACGGTGGCTCGGTTCAATTGGCACGCATATTGGAATTCTATTAGCGAGATTACTGACAGTAATTGCTCGGTTTGGCGCAATATCGTACGCTCGTCTGTGTAGCCAGCCAACAGGCTAGCGAGCGTCAAACGTGGATTAAGCGTACATCTTGCTCCGCAGCTTAGGCAAGACGGGTGTATTATGTTCCTGATTATGTTCCAGCAATAGTCGCCTCTGAATCTCGATTCGACGGAATGTATCACGAATTGCGAATTTGAATATGCACGGTTATATCAGTCGTTACGAATCGCGTCAAAGGATCGAGACGTTCGGTTGAAATTACTCGAGCCTGTTCGAGCCTGTTCGTTGCATGGTTTCTCGCGCGTTTCTCTATGAAAATTTAATCGAAAGTTCTTACGGGTTGGGAAATGAAAGTTGAACATAAATGAGATGAGAGAGAGGGAAGAGAGTATGAGGGCGAGAAGGAAAAAGGAGACACACGACACGGGGAACGTGTTTCGTCGAGAAAGGAATGAAACTTGTAAGTTCGCGGATCTCGAAGGACGGAAAACGATTTACCGGTTGTAAGTGCGCGAGACTTTCCAAGTTGCGCCGAGATTTTTCGAAATTTCCCGTCTCCGAACTGACTCCAGATTATATAAAATTTTTCTCCATAACTGGAAACTCTCCCACAGTTTCCCTCTCTTTCTCTCTTTCTGCTCGACACTCTCCGTGTCAGAGTTAGGGAAAAAACGCTTACCAAGCAAATTCGTACGAGCTAAAGTCCTCTTTTCTCTCGTATTTTTTTGCCATACTAAAATTCTATCTGATAACCGGAAAGTTTTTCTTTTCTCTCGTTTCTCTTTTTCTCTCATTCCTTTGTGTTTTTTATTCTCTCTTTTTCTTTTCTCCTTTTTTCTCCGCTTTATAATTTTGTCCATGAAAGATGATACAGAGACTTTCGCACGAGCACAGCCGCGCAGCTTGAAACAATAAATATAACGGTTGGATTTCGCTCCAGTTACGATTATTAAACGTAATATCTGTTTTGAAAATAACGAAGCTCGTTGTAATATAAAATCGTTAATTGAATATCGAAATGATTGTAAATTGAAAACTGTTTTAGTTGGGCAGAGGGACGGGAGGGGGGTATTCGATTCGAGGATAAAATTCGTAATTCGGTCACGTTGTAGAGAGACATTTTAATCAGTCTGACTGAATGCCCGCGATTCGTAAAACAGGACGGGCGTACAAGGACGCGGTCTCTCCTCTTTCTTTCGGCTCTCTCTTCTTTCTGAATTATCTTGCGGTTCCTCGCTCGCGGGGACCACAGATTTTCATTTCAGATCTGGCTCCGGTACAGTGCAGGAGGAGAAAATAGAAGTCGGTTGATTTCAATCTGTTTGACGGTCCTCTCCTCGCTTTTTCTCGCTTCTCGGAGGGCTGCGCGGTGCCGGATGTCGGCGCACCGCGTCGCTGCCCGAAGACAACGAGACAAGATCCGCGACGCGAGGCATCCGTTATCGTTCCACGGCATCTCTCCGACTATTTCGTGCTCCCGTTTCTTTCCTATCGTTCCAACTGCTCTCTCTCTCTCTCTCTCTCTTTTCCTCTTTCTCTCTCTCTATCTCTCTATCTATATATCTACCTTTCTTTCTTTCTCCGCTCGGAACTTATTGGCGAGGAGATGTTCCCCCTCGAAGGACATTGACGCGCAATTACGCGAAAGTTCGCCGTCACGGTCGTGTAAACTCGAAAATCTTCCCCTGCAAATGGCTCGTTCTCTTTTATAGCTATGTAAATCGGATGGATAGGACAATAGGATAGCGAGTTCATTGTTTGGGGGAATCTTTTATTATGACAGGGGATGGAGGTTTGTCTTAATTGGAGGAGCGAGGGAATACAAGCGTAAAATTTTCCAGTTATATATACGTATATATACCGGTGGGTCCGGTAATTAAAGGGGGGTATCTACGAAATAGATACAATTCGATAATGATGTTTATCTTCGGACTGCATACAAGACGCGTTCAAACGAAACAAGTTTGGAGCGTGTAACGAGAGATACACGATATTCCAATTAAGTCTATGAACGTTTGATGTAAATGCGCCAAGTTAATTCCATCAACGGAAGTCATTACCACGTACTGCCAGAATGTTTTAACGGTATTAGGTTATTCCGGCGTGAAAAGGTTACTCTATACACCGTGCGATAAGGTTTATCGTTATCCTCGAAAACTTTCATCGACGCGTTCGACGCTTTTTCGTTCGAGCAGCGCACAACGTGAAGGAAGAGTTAAACGAAAGTGGATTCGGCTCTCTTTTTTTCCTTCTTTTTTCTTTTTTTCATCCTCAACGTTTCGTCGAAACTTATCCCCTTTTTCTTCGCGGAATCGTCTACGCCCAATCTAACTACCGATACCAATATCAATATTAGCCGGAATAGCTTCGATATCGTGAGAGAACATTTCGCACAAAGCAGTGGTACGTTCCTCTGGATGGGGTTTAATGCACACAGATTCACTCCCCTGAGTTTTCGATCGCAGCTGAACCTAGAGGATCGACTGGTATCTCTCTCTCTCTCTCTCTCTCTCCCTTCGCCCTTCATCTTCCCTCCGCGTACCATCAGGTAGGCGTCTCTCGAAAAGCGCTTAATCCTCCGACCAGTCGAAAGCCCCTCTGCCGGTATTACGGCAAACGCTGATTTGTGGTCGCGGCAGCGACATTATTTATAATTTGTGGGTATTAATAGCTGACTCACACGTGTGTATCTACGTGGATATATATTGTACGGGAGCCTTTTCGGGCTCTCATCGATCTCCCCTATCGTCGATAAATTTCGTTCTCGTTCCACTGCTCCAAACTTTTGGTTCACCCTCTATTTGTGCCTCTATTTCGTCGCGCCAACGCTCTCGTCATTCGACATTCTGACGCGCAGCGTACAACCTCCCGCTTATCTCTCTCCGATCGGGGTCGCGATTTCAATCTTCCCTCCTCTCCTTTTCCTTCCTTCCTTCCTTCCTTCCTTCCTTCCTTCTCTTTTTTCCAACCCACAAAGCTATGAATTTCTGGCGCGAGCACGTGGAAGTAATTATTAATCCCTTCGTTCGACTGGGCATAGCCGCGGGGGAACAATAAACGCCATTTTAATTTTTAAGGATACGTGGATATATATATATATATATATATACACGCGACAGTCGTAGAGCAGTTTCATTGCGCCCAACCGTCATCCTTATTATTCCTCTTCCCTTCGACGTGTTTCACGATCACGAAAAAGAGGAGGGAGGGAAGAAGAGGAAAGGGTGGCGAACGAAGACGGAAAGGCGCTATTTCTTCGGACTGTTATTTCGCCGCGGTGGAATTCGCAGACAGGACGAGATAACGGAATCGGATAGCCGGCGTGCCATCTCTTACCGCGGAATGATACCTTGCGGGGATATAACTCAGCCGACCGACCAACAGTTTCTAGACCGATACTTTTATAGGGGAGGAGGCACGCACGAAACCCGATTCCGTTCTTATTCTTCGTTTTCGTCGAAGAGAACGATGTCTCCTCGCCGTACGTCCGCGCGATACCTTATTCTCGAAATTGTCGGTCGGGGCGCAATAAACCGTTCCAAGACACGATCAATCAACCGATAGAACTCTAATCTCGCGCTCGGTGATTGGCGGGTGGACGCCGCGAGGGCGTGGTAATAGTCGCGCGATGCCCTAACGATCTAT